TCTCTAATTTCCTTTGTTGTGATCCTCTTGAGGATACTTTTATATTTTCCTCAGTGTCTTACAGTGCCTTGCTTAGATTGGCTTTGCTATGATTCAGTAAGTGAACTAATGAAATGAAGAGTGAAGGGATAACAAAAAATAATGTACAGAGTATTTATTGATGATTTGAGGTTGAGACAAATAAAATTTCACAAAGAACTCATTCTTTTAACTCATTAAATTCTGGAGAACAGAATTCCTGAATTCAATAGGTACAGTTTCAAGAATATAACCAGACTTATCTCATTCCTTCCACCTCAATACACCACCTTTCCATTCCATCACTTCAAAATTACTTGAGCTGATATAATTTTAATCCACTCTATAGTGACAGACTATTCACTATATTCACTAGTTATAATATTCAACAAGTAAAAACACCACAAAACCTATTTTCACTGGAGTATGAACACATGCTAAAAACAACCATTGTCTTCAAGTGACCATTTCATTCTTACACTTTTCTCTATGTGTATTCTGTATTAATTTCCACTGAGAAGACATGGGGCATTTAGTTTTTTTTGAGATTGGCTTATTTTGCTAAGCAGAATCATTTCCAGTTGCATCCATTTTGTTGCAAAGAACAGAATTTTATTCCTTTTTTATGGTTAACTAGTATTGCATAGTAATTACTTGGGGTGATATAATTTTAATCCACTCTGGTACAGATGCAAAATTAAAAACTGGGAGTCAAAAGATATGAAGTTTTGGTATTCAGTTGATATGTGGAGCAATATTATATAAAGTACATGATAATATTAAGATGTGATAATCCATTGTGAGGAAAATTGACGTGAATTGTACCTTAGGAGAGAATTTGGATAGATTGGAGGACCTGTATCAAACTAAAGTATTTTTGGTTCAGAGATCTGTAACAATAAGCTAAGAAAAACTACCACTAGAATAACACATTTTTAAGTGCATACATCCAATATTCTTTAATATGAAGTGTTAGGGGTCTCAAAGCCAACTCTCTATTTTAAGTTGTTCGCTCAGAGAACTCACAAAAATAGGTACTCTCATCATAGTATGGTTTATTACACAAAACCTTACAGGCTGAAGTTGCCAAAGACAAGAAATACACAAGGAAGTGCAAGAGAGACCAAGTATGGACTTCACTAGTCATCTATGGGATCATACAGAGAGCTTAATTTTCCAGCAGTAAGTTATCACAGAAACGGAGTGTTGATAACTGGAAAAACTCATGCAGGTCTTGATGTCTAAGGATTTGATTGGGAGCTTGTCACATTGATAGCAAGCACCCGTTTGACTGGCCTTAACCATTCCTTCTCCAGAACTTCCAGAAGTAAAGCTGAAGTCTTAGGGCATTTCACTCAACAAAACCAGGAATTTACCTTATATCGAACTGCTGGCATATAGGCATCTGAAGTGACTAGTATACAAAGACACGATCATAGGGCAGGTGTTAGGAGGGTTTATATATTAGCATCATGTACACTGTAAAGTGTATGGTTTGAGCTTCCCAGATCACTTGTGTTAACCGTACTCCTATTGTATTCAATTGTCACACATTTTGTAGACATTCTGCTGTGTACTTAAGTGCCTCAAAAATAGCTCTATTTTTCTCCTGCTGGACAACAGTTAGCAACTTAGTAATTCCTGTGGGGAAATATTCTTATCCCCTCACTATATTTAAATGTTACCTACCTAAGGACAAACACACTGGATTATAAGAAACAAGTGAGCTTCCCGGAAGCATATCAGAATTACTCAGTACATTTACATTTTTTAATAAAAAGTGTTGGTACCCCACAATATTGATATCTATGTGATAGTTTTTGCTTGACACATTTTTCCCTGAATTGTTCTGCATCCTCCATTTTACTTTTGTATTATAAGATTGGTTTTTAAAATGCAACAAAATATATTTGTTTTGGAAGCATATATAATAAATGTACTTTCTACTTTTCAAATTCCTTATTTCAAATTTCTTCTCATCCTGGCTCTGCTGAAAAGTTCATTCTTAGATTGTGTTTCAAGGTTTAGGAAACATAGCATTCTTATCATAAAAATGGATCAAATTCTCAAAACAGAAATGTCTGCTTTCTCACCTAAGTTATCAGAATGTATTTCATTTCTGAAGTGCACATACACTATTCTGCCTTGCATTAAAATAGTGTGTGTAACGCTTCCTGAACTAGCCTTTGGTTTTTACACAGAAACTGTGACTGACCTGTCTTTATGGCATCCAGAATTCCTGCCTAACTTTTTACTTCAGGTTATTCACTTACATTCAGCATGCAATTATTTAATTGTGATTTTTTTTTAAAGTCATATTACCGAGTGGAAGTAGAGCTAAAAAATTGTAACTAATGCTAACATTTTCTAATTATAGAACGTGGTATGAACTTCAGAAAAGTGGTCTTATTTGGTATCAACTAAGAGCAAATGAGAAGTAGATGAGACAAAGCATGTAAAGACACAATATTCAAAACAGCTGTATTATGTCCTCAGTGGAACAGGTGCTGTGTTTTGAATTTTCAGTCTGTATGCCCTTTCAAGATGCTCCCTATTTCAGTGTTTTGGGGATTCATTTGTCACTAGAGATATATTAATTTGATGGTTTTACTGACACCTGTCGAATCAAAATATCTGACAAATACCTTAAGACTACAGACTGACATGACAGGTATTTCACCTAATGGTTAGGATGCTGAAGCCTCTGAATCAAGTGCCTGAATTTGACCCCCAACCTTGGCACATTTCTCTTGGTTCTTCCTTATACGTTGTCTAAGAGCCAGCAGTGATAGCTCAGCTGACTGGGGTTTGCCAGCCATATAAGAGAACAGTATTAAGTGACTGGCTCCCAAATTTAGTCTAGAATAAATATAAAAATTGACAAGAATTGTAGTGACAATACTTCGCTATATGTGCATTCCATGGTGCTAAAATTTAAGCACTATGAAACAGGATTATGGACATCCCATTGTTGATAGTGTCATCAATATAAAAATGATCTACCCTGTAAATAAGTCAGAAATTAAGAGCTAAAAACTAAATTTCAACAAATTCTTTGCATCATAAGGAGATGTTCTTTTTCATTATTTGAAATTCCTTCTCCTTTTTTTGATGTTTATTTTATTTGATAGGTAAATTTTACAGAGAGAGTAGGAGAAGGAGAGATAAGATCTTCCGTCTGCTCTTTTGTTCCCTCACCCCTTGTTGGCCAGAGCTGAGCTGATCTGAAGCTGGGATCCAAAAGCTTCTTCTAAGTCTCCTCCATTGCTTTCCTAGTTCATAAGCTTCATCAGGAATGGAGCAGCTGGGATATGAATTCCCATTCATGGCATGCCAGCCCTACAGGGCTGAGGAGTATAGCTTAAAGTGCTACCACCTCAGCCTTCTCCTTCTTCTTATGCCAGTTTTTTCTGTTTTTGCTTGAATATGCATAAATTCTTTTTTTTTTAAAGATTTATTTTTATTATTTTTTCATTGGAAAGGCGGATATACAGAGAGGACAGACAGAGAGGAAGATCTTCCATCCGATGATTCACTCCCCAAGTGAGTGCAACGGGCCGATACTATGCCGATCCGAAGCCAGGAGCCTCTTCCGGGTCTCCCACGCGGGTGCAGGGTCCCAAAGCTTTGGGCCGTCCTCGACTGCTTTCCCAGGCCACAGGCAGGGAGCTGGAAGGGAAGCGGGGCTGCCGGGATTAGAACCGGCGCCCATATGGGATCCCGGGCGTGCAAGGCGAGGACCTTTAACCACTTGCGCCACCGCGCCGGGCCCTGAATATGCATAAATTCTATTATCTTTATATTCTGCTCAACATGGGCTTATTCAAACCTCCTATTATTAATTATCTACTGTGTGCATAACCCCTTGTCATAAATAAAGAACATTACAATCAAGTTTCATTTAATGGATTTTTATGAAGCTAGGGGTTAGTGTTGACTAAATGCAATTTCTACCTTCAAGTAGATTTTGGTATAAAGTTGGAGAGTACAGTCATACAAAACAGCTGTGTGATTATAATGAGGCAATGCATAAACAGCTACAAAACACACTGGAGAAGCAGGCTGATTCTTTAACAAAAAAGGAAAGCTTTCAAATGGCATTATAAAGGAATTCGTGAAAGAGGAGTAAATACATGTTTGGGTAATATTGAAAACTTGCTACCCTAAAGCTAGGAAACCTTCTTTTACCAGTATTAGTCAAGTTTAAACATTCTTTACATCAAGAACTTTCCCATTTATTATAGAATAAACTGTCACAGGTCTAAGCCCAAGTTGTGGCTTACCTATAAATGATTTTGAGTGTGCTGCAACTAGGATTAATCAAAGCAATCTGGAGAGCAGTTACTGAACAAGAACAATTTTTTGACATAATATAATTGAATTAATTGGCTGTACTTGTTAGGTAAAGGAAGCAGAGGGAAAAAGCATGCTCATTTCTGACCCGGTCAAATCAGGAACGCAGTAACTCCTCTCCCCATCTGCTTAGTTGTCAAGTTCTTATGCTGCCTGGAATGTATATAATTTTAATCTATGAGAAGTGTTTTACAATTGGCTTAAGAACCATGTTCTGTTCTAAGTTCATCCTTTATTTTAATGTCTTTAATATTAGCTCTATCCTTGTTTTAAGATGAAGTAGCTCTAATAGCTCAATGACACAAAGGAACGCATCTGAATGGATCCATGTCAGTCAAGCATATTTATTTATTATGACATTGATTCCCTATCCTTAACATATGCAAAAATCAAATTTGTAATTTTTATTAAGGTAATTTAGTATCCAGTAATCATTCCTTGAAGTGTGGTTAGATATTTCTTAACCATGAGATTTTGTGCAGGGTTTTGAACACACTATAATATCCTAAAACATGATCGAGAGGAAAGTGAAGAGATGTGTAGCAGTATTTCCTGTTTACAGATATAAGCAGAGACCTTCATTCTACAAATTGCTTTTGTTTGTTGCTAACGCATTTGTGTATTTACAGGAGAACGTTGAAGGAGGTGACTGCAGTCGTTGCAAGGCAGGCTTCTTCAATTTGCAACAGGATAATCCAAAAGGTTGTGAAGAATGTTTCTGTTCAGGAGTTTCAAACAGATGCCAAAGTTCCTACTGGACCTATGGCAATGTAAGCAATCCCCATTCCCTTCCTGACCCATAGATCTTTCCCTGCCTGAACCACGGGTCGTTGGGTCTTTGCTGTGATCATTTAACAACAACTTTTAAAAGTTTTTGTCTAGTTATGAATTTTGGCTTAAAGTTATCACAAGGCTATGAGATTTTCTTCCTATTCTGTTTCTTCACTCAAAGGGTCAAAGTTGCATTTGTAATAGTGTGAAGACTGGATCCATTTACAATATACAGACCCTAACTTTTCGATGTTAAAATTAGTATATGAAACAAAAATGGGATTAATGATGATGTTTCAATTCCAAAATACATGACTTAAGAAACATTGGATGGGGATGTTAAGAATTTAATTTTTCACACACTGTGGTTTTTGTATGCAAGTTAAGAAATGAACTCTTCTTGAGGCAGATTCTTAGTACCACAGTTAAAATATCATTTGGGACATCTTCATCCTTTATATGATTGGGTTCAAGTCTAGTTCTATTCCTAATTTCAGCTTCCTGCTAACATATACCCTAGGAAGCAGTAGCTGATACCTCAAGTGTCTGGGTCCCTATTACCCACGTAAGAGATCTGGATTGACTTCTAGTGCTTAGCTTCATATTTGTCAACTCCCCACTGTTAGAATCATTGGGGAGTTAACTGGAAGATAAAAACAAAATCACTTTCTTTTTCTGTCTCTCTATTCTCTCCCTTTTGTCCCTCCCTATTCTTCTCCTTCTCTCACTCTCTCCACTCTCCTCTCTCACCTTTCCTGCTCCCTTCCTCTCCCATTCTGCCTCTTTCTCCCTCTCTTTGACATCCAAGGAAACAGGGAAAATAAATAAGTGAGCTAGCCCCAACCCCCAAATTATCTACCTATATCATACACATGTATGTCCGGGTTTTCAACCACAATTTGTTGCTAACTTGGCTCTCATGAATAATTGCTATTGAATGGCTACTGCTATCCTTCTTAAGTCATTGGAAAATTGTTATTACTCAAACTGTTGATTTTCTTTTTCTACAATGAATACCTTCATGGTGGGCACTGCCTCTCAGTGCAGACAGGATTTTTGTTTGCTTATAGAAAAGGTATGTGAAGGAAGAGAGACATTTAGAAAATTACAGATAGCCTAAAGAGCTGAATGTAAGACTGTCAAATACTGAAAAGCAGGTTGGAGAGAGAGTAATATAGAGAGTAAGAAACTATAGCTCAGGTGCTTGAGTAGGGTGAGAAGTGAATTATATTCTCTTTGGAAAGTCATTAAGGGACTTCAAAGAGAGAAATTATGTAATCAAAGCCATGTTCTATGAAGACTGCTGTTTTCCGAAACTACAATGTATTAAAGAATCTGAACACAGCTGTCAAGTATTTTACTATGTCTATACAGCTTTCCAGTCATGTTTTAAATAATAAGATATCAGTTGAGCCTTTATCACTGTGTGTATTATATAAAAACTGCTGCTGTTGGAGTGGACCACAGAAAGGTCAACAGCAAATAGACATCTATCCTTAATTTTCTCATTTTATTTGTAAAATTCCAGCCAACACTCTATCCTGCTCCACAGTGAGGAGAATTTCTTAGCTAGCCAAGGAATAGAAAGGGCAGTCATACCTTGATCTATGGAAGCCACATCCACTGAATCATGCATAACTGTTTTTACAAAGACCAAGAATGATACTATAAACAGAAGGGACCTACGTGGTGTATGTGGCCGATAACTTGTTATCTAGATTCTATTTCTCTGTTGACTAAAGAAGTCCCCGTGACTTTGGAGTGTTAGAACAAGAAGAATCAAATACTATGTATATGAATAGGTTTTTAAAATCACTGCATGCTGTCTCTACTTTTTGCTTCCTGATGTACACTGTTCCAAATATATCACCTAGGTTTAGTAGGTTACCAGTGGCTGGAAGCCAGAAATGTTAGTGACCAAGATATTGTTCTTACTTGGTAGGATACTTTATTATTTGATGGTATTTAAAACACGGGATGCTTTAAATTTGAAAAATGTCCATGTGCTTGACTTTGGAACATAAAGATGAAAATGCAAATCATTACAGCATGCTTATCCCTTTAAAAAATAACTTTATTGAATGTGCAATCTAGGTTTTGGGGCTCTATAGGAAGTGATATATGCAGTATTTTCATAGTAACATGTTAGTGGAGTCAAATGTCTAAGCTCCACAGATGAAATTTTAAGAATAGGAAAGGAGGAAATGTTGAATTGAAAGCTTTCTGGTTCTTGCTTTTATTTATTTTCTTCAAAAAGTTTTTTAAAATGTGTATCATGATTAAACTGTGTATGGATTTCAAAGCATTTTATAGACAAAGTTTTAAAATGCTGTCTTCTGTGAATTTTTAAAAAAAATTTATTTATTTTTATTGTAAAGTGAGATATATACATAGGAGGAGAGACAGAGAGGAAGATCTTCCATCTGATGATTCACTCCCCAAGTAATCACAATGGCCGGAGCTGTGCCAATCCGTAGCCAGGAGCCTCTTCCGGGTCTCCCACATGGGTGCAGGGTCCCAAGGCTTTGAGCTGTCCTTGACTGCTTTCCCAGGGAACAAGCAGAGAGCTGAATGGGAAGTGGGGCTGCTGGGATTAGATCCAGTGTCTATATGGGATCCTGGCACATTCAAAGAGAGGACTTTAGCCACTAGGCAACCGTTCCGGGTCCTTCTGTGAAATTTTTGAGACTTTTCTGTACATATGTTAACATATTTTGTAATAATTTCCACCAATAACAAGAAATTACTAGTGGAGCAAAAAAAAATAGGAAATTTAAAGCCTTATGCCAGTGCAATAACTCTACTGGCTAATCCTCCTGCTACTTCTCATATGGACACCCATTTGTGTCCCAGCAGTTCCACTTTTTACTCCAGCTCTCTGAGTGGGGCCTGGGAAATCAGCAGAGAATAGCCCAGTTTCTTGGGATGCTGCACTCATGTGGGTAGCTTGGAAGGGTCTCCTGGCTCCTGGCTTTGGATTGGGTCAGCTCCTGCCACTGTGGCCATTTGGGGAGTGAACAGTGGATGGAACATCTTTCTCCCCATCAGTCCTCTCTCTACCTGGGTTTTGTATGCCAGCTCAGCTTTTGGGAATAGTTTTCTGCTAGCATAAACACTGGGAAGCAATGGTATTGGCTCTGATAGTTGAGTCCCCGCCACACATAGGACCTCTGCTCCCAGATTTGTGTCCTTTGCTCCCAGATTTGTGTTCTCTGCTCCCAGATTTGGCCTTTCCAAACATAGGTTATTGAGAGCATTAAGAGCATTAAACCACTGAACCGCTTTGGGGGAGATCTCCTTCTGTCTTTCTTGCTCTGACTTTCTCAGATTTTTAGGAATAAATTGCCAAAGATAGATACTATAAGAAATATGAAAGGAACTGATGGAGTTTTTTCTTTTTGACTTAATGTTAATTGTGTCTTTCTCTAAGATACAAGACATGAGTGGCTGGTATCTGACTGACATCTCTGACCGCATTCGAGTTGCTCCTCAGCGAGACAATTTGGATTCTCCAGAGATCAGCATCAGTAACACACAGGTCCGGCAAAGCCTACCCAACAGCTACTACTGGAGTGCACCAGCTGCATACCTGGGGAACAAAGTAAGTGCATCCTTCTCACGACTCTGCTTCAATGGACAGGTAATGAGCAGGGGTTTTGTTCAGTATTTCACTAAAGAAAGATGATGTCAAACACCGAGCATTGTGCCAGAACTGCCAAGTTATACCAACTTGGTCCTTTCTCCCATGTTGTGTGTGCTGGCTATCGATGGATTACTGTCTCTTGGCATCCCTCGTACACAACTTTGTCCACAGACAGCTGGATTTCTGTGCAGGCTTTTTGAATGGAGAAGTTAATTAAGATGCTAGGATATTTTTATCAAATGAATTATAGATTTTGGAAGAAGCCATGTTGTATATTCTAGAGATAGCTCCTGTGTAGAGTTGCCTATGGAGTGCTATTTAGTGACATCTGTGTCTATTACATTTAAAACTGATATTCAAGAGCACTGCTTGTCCTGGTATGAATGTTCATTGGGAAAAATTATTACATGACAAATTTAATGCTTGTCATGAGACCATGTAAACAACATATGTCCTATAGACAGAGAATTATCTTGAAAGTGACAGATGGAAAATGTATGTCTTAAATCACACTTATAGATGTGCAAACATATACAGATACGCAAATGTAGCCTTGCAGTTACAGGCATTCTTATCCCCCTCTTCTGTGTGAGTGCTTACCTAGGTAATGTGCTTTGTGTTTGCTGTTTCATTTTATTTTGCCTAAGAATTGGTTGCAAACTAAATTTCATACGAGTACTTGCTTTTCCTATGAAGTTCAACTGACTGTATGGCACCAAAAGTTCTGATGCTTAAACCAGATTCTCAAGAATGCAGTGGTATTTTTAAGGAGTAAGCATAAGTATATTTATAATTTGTAATTCTCTGTATGTCTGAGTATTAGAATAGAAAAAATCAGTACCTTACATGCTACTCTATGAATGGGAAACAGTGGTTTTAGCCAGTTGATAAATTGTAACTCATGGACAATTTCCTAGTTTTAACAGGCTTCTAAGTGCTATTACAAAAAAGAGTGTAAATTAATAAAACAAGTTTTCAGTGAACTTATATTTTTAAAGAGACAGCGTATGTTCCATGAAATTCAATAGCTGTAATAAAAATCTAATTAAACTTTTATTTGCAAGGCCTTTCATGACAAGTCATTTTATCCTGTTCTATTTAGGAACCTCCTGTATTCCCAACAAACGTAAAATAACAGAGAAGACTTTAATTTCTATTGCTTAAATTTGCCAAAACCTAAATGAGCATAATTTTTTAATTGCTATGAAGAACTCCAAGAAGAGCTTTGGCTCTAAATTGAATATGACCCAGAATTCTTATAATTTTATGATAACATTTATAGAAATAACCACATTTTCCATCATTTCTTCTTTGGTCATATGCTGTTTCTTTTTGTTGGCTGAAAATCAAATTGACAGAAGGAAAGCAAGTCAATGGGTTGCTAAATATTATCCCAGAAAAGGATTTGGACATCCTGCTCATTGCTGTTGGCTCCCAAAGATAACTCCCCTTATCTTGGCTTATAACCTGGCTTCTAATGTTTCTTATTACCACCCATGATGAAAATTCCCCTACAGATCATTTTCACACAGAACTATGTGTTTGTCTGTGTTCCAGTTTCTACTCAGTGAACAAAATAATGGTAACAGGGTGTGTAAATTGTCTGAATAAGGAAGACGTTTTTAAATGTAATGTGGAAACCCTTGGTGGTTTACTGTCAGGCATCTCAGTATGAATGAAACAATTTGCCTTAATAACTGAACCGTATAAATTTTTGATACTACAATAATACTGCAAGCTCTCAAAAATTACCACAGTACATCTTAACTGTCATGTCCCATCACGTAAATTATAGTCATGATAACATGCTTAGCTTGGTTGATTTAATATCTTCCTAAGGAAATGGAAAATTGTAGAGCCTTGTTTATAAATTCAATAAAGCCACTCTTCTAAATAGTTGAGGCTAAATTTTTTACCAGTAATTGCTGTTCAATTCAAAGTTATTGCCAGAATCTGACAAAAATAGTACATCAAGACACTAGTGCATCTGCTTAAATAGAATTTCAGTTACATCCATGACTAGTAGGCTGTGGGTACATAATCCCTCCTCTGGTTTTTGAGTGTTAATTCCCTAGTTTAAAAAATATTTATGACATGTTATTAGCTTTCTCTAAATGTTTATGAAACAAATTTTTAAACATTTACCAAGGCAACTTGCAAGGGAAAGAATCTGCTGTACATATTCTCTTGTAGTGGAAACACCCTTGTTCCCTTGTTCCTTTCTTAGGAATCTAACTCCCAATAATAAAAATTCATTCACATGGCACACTTTGCAGACATAAAAGTCTTCTCTATTATAATAAAATTTAGGAACACAAGTCCATTTGGCAAAGAAGTATAATCTCTCTTTTATTCTTCAGGATGAAAGAAGTGATTAAATAAGTGATCACAGTATTTTGAGTATGAGACCAGCAAATATTATGCTATCCATTGAAAAAAAAAATTCTTAATCTCAGCTGTGAATTAATTCCTCATTAGCATTTGTGAATTCTTTGTTATGTGAGAATGAACATTTGGCACAAATAGCAAGTTCAATTGACAATTTTTCCATCTCATTGTAAACAAAGGGAATTACATCAGGTAAGCACAGTGCTATCCTAGGAGGTGTTTATTTCTTAAATATTTGGTAAGTGTTAAGGGTTGGTTTTAGGGTATTTGGTTAAGCATGAAACAGGTAAAAGTAGCAAGTTATGGAAGACAAAGAATATACTGATTTGCTCCAAACTGCTCAGAAACATTTTGGGAACTTCAGATCTGGGACAATGTACTACTTTTATAAACCTGGTGCTACTGGAACATTGAAATAACCATTTACTTAAAGTTACCCTGGTGGTCTGAAATAGTTAGTATAGCTTCCAAAAGCAATTTCACTGCATATATAGAGTTCTCAGAGAATCTGGCATAGCCTGTTTCCGCTTCTGGCATTACCACTGGTTTGAAATTATGTCTCCCAAATGTTATTAAATTAATGTTATGTGATTTGTCTTTTACAAAACATTTTCTATTTTCTGCAACATTATGGCATCTTTCTGTTTCTAGCACAGAGAAGTTTTTAAATTGCTCCTGTCCTTGCCAGGAAGGCCAGTAATGTAGTTTAAGAGGCACACAAGCAGGAGCATCGGCGACACAAAAGCAGCTGGCTTCTGAAGGGAAACCATTGGTTGGATTAGCTGGATTTTCAGCTCTGCTTCACTGATCCCAGATTAAAGCTGTGGTTTAGAAAGAGATGGGCAGTTGGGGTTTATAGGGCAGGGTAGTTCTTATCACTAAGAGAAATTCAGCAAATAGTTTGATATTAATGATGTGGGTTGAATGCAAGCCAAACTCAAAAACTTGATTTGATTTGATTAGCTTTGTCAGAAATGACTGGAATTAGAATTTTGTGTAAATTGAATTATGATCTCTTTTTTTTTTTCTTAATTAAAATTTGCTACCAAGATGTTAGCCTTTCCTTTCAGTGGTATAATTTTTATTTCCTAATTTTTTGTTCCACTTTTCCCAAAATTACTTAAAAGTGATGTTCAAATTACTTTTCCTCATTTAAGAAATATTAATTAGAAATATCATAGTGCATATGAAGAGTACATGGCCATTAAGGTGAATAGGATGATTTAATGTGATTTCCTTTCTATTCTATGGACCATAAAGAATGATTTTGTAAAGCAGTAGAGTAAAAAATAAGTAATGCCTGGAATAGACCCATTGAATTATTAAGAGCAAACAAAGAGAAAAAAAATCCTCAAAAACGCGTGTTTTGCCTATGGTTATTATAGAGACCTACTGTAGAAAATTAGCCCCTGAGGAAGATTCAAGACCAAACAGAAACCTTATGGTGTTACAAAGCCTAGATATAATAATACTTTCATATTTTTCCAAATTGATATAGCAGTGATTCTAATGTTATGAAATTATCATATGATAAGATAAAATATTTGTGTTCATTCTTCTATTTACAGTGTAGAGTATTGAAATACAATAGGAAAAAGGTTAGTTTTTACACCTAATCCAGTAAGTAAATGTTAGAGGAGGGAATGTTCAGCTTAACAGCTTGGTAGTAAAAATCAAAATGTTTACTGAACAATAACTTTGCAGTGGCTCCGTTTGTGGTCAGCTTGACAATGCAACTCATGCAAAATAGGGCTCCCTTGATAGGACATGGCCCGTTACAACAAAAAGAGTGAAGACAGCACAGATTCTGAATAAAAGCCATGTCACTTAACACAACCTGCTGATGAGTTTCCATTTTTATCTATGTGAAAGCATGTGACAAATATTGTAAATTAAAAAAAAAAAAAGGTATCTGGGAAGAACTAAAATCCAGATGTGTCTAGCTGTTTTAAGATCAGCCTTTTTGGGCCCAGCGCGGTGGCACAGTGGTTAAGGTCCTCACCTTGCACGCCCGGGATCCCATATGGGCGCCGGTTCTATCCCGGGCAGCCCTGCTTCCCTTCCAGCTCCCTGCCTGTGGCCTGGGAAAGCAGTCGAGGACGGCCCAAAGCTTTGGGACCCTGCACGCGCGTGGGAGACCCAGAAGAGGCTCCTGGCTTCGGATCGGCATAGCATGGGCCGTTGGGCTCACTTGGGGAGTGAATCATCGGACGGAAGATCTTCCTCTCTGTCTCTCCTCTCTGTATATCCGCCTTTCCAATGAAAAAAATAATAAAAATAACTCTTTAAAAAAATTATTAAAAAAAGGATTAGCCTTTTTTCAGTATGTTTGTTAGTTTGAGACTTTTAACTTTGGAATAGAAATGCACAAAAATTTACCCAGAAGAAAGCATACGAAAGGAAAAAATAAAATGAGCTTATATAAATGTCAATAAGTGAAATAGAAAGCAAGTATCAGGAGAGAGGATGGAAATCCAGATAGTTGTTTTGAAAAGGATGCCAAAGAGCTCACTGAGTTAATGAAGCTAAAAGTGTAAAGACTTTCAAATTACCTTTGACATGTAAAAATG